TTAAATTCTACCGGTGTGCCCAAATTCTACACTTAAATTAATGTTTCTGTGGCATTCATCAATCCGAGTTACTTCTTGGGACGACGAAAGCTCCGCAACAAAAACCAACCAGCTCAGAGAACACTACTAATTGCAAATCATTCACCTGAACTACAAATCTTCTCTATCATTTCAAATAAATAGGACATTAGTAAAACTGAACAGACAAAGCTAAGCTTACGCAATTCCATTATGGATAAAATCTTATTTCGATGATAAAGTCTCACAATGTGTGCTATATAGTGCTATATTTACTGATGACCACGTTTCGAGCACTATTGATTCCTGCTCATAATTATATCAACGCACTACTACTCGCATAACTTCCATGACTTTTCATCTCATGATACGGTTGGTGGTCATATTTTCCAGATCTCTGGTATTGATGATGAGTCGTTCCCTATTGCAAATCCGATCACCACCACGACGTCAAGGTAGCAAGCAGTCACAGGTCGTCACATTAGACAAAGGTCTTAAAGCTGATGAACTCACAACAACCAGCACTGGACACACCTGCTTTATTGTAGTTTGACAACTCCACAATAAGAGGGGTCGAACCAAAAACCCGCTGGTGACAATTAGTTGAGCTGGTCGAACAAATAAATAATTAAATAAATAGAAAAAAACGTAGTGATTATTACAACTTACAATTACGATTGAATGTTTGAATAACTATTTCAAGGAATAGACGAGATGATATTGATTCACTGAGCAATGCTTCCAATAGAGGACTTTTCACACAGACAGAATCAGCGAGATCATTTTTACACGGAGAATTGATTGTGTAGACTGAACTATTAAAATGCCAATTATACGCTAAGAAAAATACTGTTACACTATATGAAAACATTTCACACTGGCGACTTTGTTCATTAGAGTTGCTGTTATTATTATTATTATTATTATTATTATTACCACTATCATCATTAGCATCAGCATTATTATTATTGCTTGTAGTTGAGAGTTCACGATGATCAGTAAAATTTTCTAAATCGATTAAATTTGAACTGGTTGAACTCGTTGAATCGCATAATTTCATCAAATGACTGAAAAGTTCTCGATCTAGAGATGCTGAAAAAAAGAAAAGGCAATATTTGCACAATATTAATTATACACTATAAAGCAAGCGCGCGAACTTTGAAAAGGGAGTGAATTTTACACGCTCTTGTTTAGTTTTGGCTTTTGTTGTGTTATACGCTCCAAAGGTCTACAGATTAACTTTAAATCAGTTTATTCTGATCAAAGTTAGTTTACTTTTCAGATCTGAGTCTATTTAAATTATAGCAAGATGTGTCTTATAACATAATAGTTATATATATTTTTGTGCACTCATTGGTTTTTATCACTGATTTATAAAGGTCTATATACATTTAAAGTTATATTTAAATTTCTTCCCCAGTTCGCTCTAGACAGTATGCCCATCAAAAAAAACCACTGCGGAAGGGTTTTGTGCCAATTCCCAGTGGATGAGGGAATGCAGTGTGATAACTGCAAGAGATGGTTTCACAGTATGTGCACAAACCTAACTCCTGCAGCATACAAACGCTGCTGCAAACCTCTAGCAAACTGGTTGTGCAATGACTGTTGTAGTACTACCAAATTCCGTATTACAGAAGCCATTTCCACTCTCAGTGGGGCTTTAAAGCTCATGGACTGCAAGCGTCCTCCACTACAGGAGAACACCGACTATTGCTCAGACAACGATGATGTGACTAGCGTCATCGACAAAACAGCACATGTCCCCTATGCGTCTCTGTCAATAAGTGAGTGCCCTCCAGCGCAGAAGAGCACTCACCACATTCCAGACACTCAGGCTGCCCCCACGATACTGGATAAGCCCTCCAGTGACAGTAATGAAAAGACTGCCACGAAGAAGAAGCGTACCAGGGGTCGAAAACCTGCAGCTCAAGTCACCCAGGGACTAGTGGATCAAGCCTCATCCACACCGGTGAGTGATAGGCAGATAAATCCTGCTACGATTAGCGAGGAGATCGCCAATGAATGGCGTAACGTAGTCTCTCGCAAAAAGCGAGATAAGGACAATACATTGGCCACACTGCCCACGAAGGACAGAAAGACATTTACGCCGCAGAGCAAGAAGGCCACGGTAAGCAAACCTAATCTCTCTGACAGGTCGCTCATTCTCCACAAAGTGGAAGAGTCACTGGCCCCCCATCCCAAGACTAGATTTGAGCATGACCTTAACTCGACCCCACAGCAACAAGTGAACTGGTTTACAAGAATCGAGTAATTATCATGCTTCAGTTAAATTCATATGAGAAGTCGAAAATGAGTCAAAGATTCCATTTATGTATGTAGAATTGACAAGAAGAAATGATGAGACACTGAAAAAATTTATCCACTAAAAAGTTCATGGGTAGTTGGGCACAATTAATCTAGACACACCAATAAGAAAAGATAATTCGTCTGAATGGTGTAATGTCTGTCTGTTTTCGACATAGAACTTTGCACATATGTGCGGCAGTTCAAGTCGCCACACTCCATGTAGCGCACAAAGGAAGAGAAGAAAGTAGGAGAAATGCATAATATAGACAGTTAACAGAGGTGTGAGACAAAGGAGTAGTAATAACGAAGAACGAACAGTTTCATCGGAGATCATAAGTCACAAGGAGTGGATGCATCTGCGCCACTGAGAACGATTTTGAGCCATGTCACCAATTGTTTCCAACCATTGGTTTTTACCGTCCCGAGGACCGCAACCAGGAAGTCTACATCTCCCTACGTGACTTAGATTAACTGTTGTGGATTTCATTGACTGGTGCCAAGTTTTCGTTTGACCGCCGCTAGCTCTTTTCCAGCCTGGCCCTATATCAGCTAACATTGCCCGTCGAGGAAGGCGATGACTAGGCATACGTAACACATGTCCCAACCATCTCAGTCGATGTAATTTCACAGTCTCATCGATTGATTTCCGAATGGTGTAATGTATTTGCGAAACGCATTTTGAAAAATCCAACCACACACGGACTTGTCATAGGAATATATATGAAATTAATAAAGAGGTAAGAGGTGAGAAAATACACTACTTAGGTCAAGTTTAAAGGACATATTCAAGGTCAAAGTAACAATGAAGACCACTTAACCAAATAACAGAGGTAACAGTACATCTGCTATGGTATCAAAACAAAATTTACAAAATCTGTGCTATAGACGAAGTTGGTAGTCTGACACCTGCGTCTATTGATTTTCCACAATTCATTTGTTTTTCCGACCATTTCGGGATATGCTCTCTCACCCTCACATGCAAAGCACGATTACTCCTCCCTAAGTATGTGTGACCACACACACACACACACACGAAAATTGGTAAATAGTGTGGGATGTGACATAATCACTTGTGGACTTTTGAGGTTTGCAGTCGAGCATATTTTCGGATTTTTCAACAATTACAAGCCGGGCTGCATAATAGGTCAAGGGTACTTATTGAAATACGCTCAGGCTTTAGTTATTCATAAACTTAAGCCCCCCCCCCTGTGTATTCAAAAACGGTTTATTATTACTCTTAACCCACCTACCTTGGTAATCCTTATTTGATTGGATTACCAAACGTTGTGTTAATTATTCTTAAATCCTTTTTTTCTCTCACTTTGTTTGATTTAACTGCCCTTAATTTTTTCATATATATCGACTTGATAAGTAAATGTGTGATCAGATTGTTCGAAATGTATAGCGCAAATATGTCGCATCACATTTTTTCAGATAATCTCCGTATTCTAATAACACTATCCAAATTTATAAAAGGGACTAATTGTTTTAAAGTAAGCGTATGCATACAATAGTAGAGGAGTCACGCAATAAAGACAAGAGGTACGTAAAATGATAATAAATTGGGTGACAATGTACTGAGTTCAACTCAAATCATAGAAACAAGAGACAAACCAGATCACACTATATCAAAGCGGGGGGTGAGGTTAAAACGTTAGTAATTTATTCAGGCTGTGAGATGGTGAGAAGCCAAAGAAATAAGCAATGATGGTACCATATTATTGTGTAGAAATTATTGTTCTTGTGTTATTCTAACTAACAGACTTTAGTAAAAAGATATATGTTCTGACGGAGAAGTGGAAATTAATTAATTATGGAATAAAAGTTTCTTGACAAAGGAACACAGAGAAGAACTAAAAAGACTGATAAATGATGAGAGACTGATAATCACTAAGCCGGATAAAGGGTCAGGAGTAGTCCTTCTTGATAGAAATGACTATATTAAAAAGATGAAGGATATATTGAAGGATACACAGAAGTTTCAAAAACTTGAGAAGAAAGATTTCAATAACAAAATAGAGAATGAATTAACCAGACGTTTGAAGAAACTAAGGGAGGAGCAGATAATTTCTGAAAGTTTATATGAAGAAATCAGACCAACGGGCACGTATATGCCAAGATTGTATGGCCTACCCAAAGTGCATAAACCAGGGGTACCGTTAAGACCAATACTTGATATGCAAAATTCGCCCTACCATGCTCTAGCTAGATGGTTAGTAAATATTCTCAAACCATTGCATGAGAAGATAGTGAAATATAGCGTCAAAGATGTATTTGAATTCGTAGACAAAATAAAAGATATTAATATCAAGGACAAAACCATGATATCTCTGGACATAACATCGTTATTCACAAATGTACCTCTAATAGAAACAGTTAATTATATATGTGAACAAGTGGACAAGCAGTCGATAAACATTGGAATCCATATTGAAATCCTAAAAGAATTGATATTAAGATGTACCATGAATGTAAACTTCAAATTTGACGGCACGCTTTACAGGCAAGTGGACGGGGTGGCAATGGGCTCCCCATTAGGTCCAATTCTGGCTGATTTCTTTCTAAGTAAGCTGGAAAATGGACCTCTGAACAACCTTATCAGTAATCTCTCATTTTATTGCCGATATATGGATGACACCTTTATTCTTTGTGATAATGGTTCCGATAAGAGTACAATAATTACTGAATTCAATGAAGTACATCCGGCTATGAAATTCACATGCGAGGAGGAATCCCAAGACAGAATTGCCTTCCTCGGTGTCCTACTTACAAGAAAACCAGACGGAAGCATAAAAAGAAATTTACATAGAAAAAGTACTTGGACGGGACAATATACACACTTTCATAGCTTCGTTCCCATCAAATACAAAAGGAATTTGGTGAAAACCCTTAGCCACAGAGTTAGAGCTATATGCTCTGAAGAAGTAATTAAAGATGAATTAAACATTGTATATGATACTTTAATTGAAAATGGTTATCCTGACAAGTTTATCAAGAAACATATGACGAAGAAGGCCGAAAAGGACGTCCCACTATCTGTAAACAAGAAACCCCTTTATATACGACTACAATTCAAGGGCGATAAACCAAGTGAGTTAATTACAAAGAAATTAAGAAAAGCAGTTCAAAGGACTTTTAATGCTGGCGAACTACACATATTATTCTCTACAAGACCGATGGTGCTATCTCGACTCAAAGATGAAGTACCTAGACTGGCCACTTCAAATTGTATTTATCAATTCAACTGCGCTTGTGGAGCGAGTTATGTTGGCCGTTGCTCTAGGAACTTGATTTTTCGTGCTCGAGAACATATCCCACTATGGCTAAGTAAAGGTGTAGTTAAAAGTATTAACAGCTCGATATTAGACCATCTGGTGCAAACTGGTCACAAAGCCAGCGTAGACGAATCCTTCTCCATAATATACCGGGTGCCTAACAAACTACCAAAATCGTCGAAGCACCACTTACTCCAAACAGCAGAGGCTATTGCAATTCGCCTCAAACAACCAGCGCTCTGTGTCCAAAAGAAACAAGTCCAGCCCCTACTACTGCCCTGGCCCTCAGTAGAGACTATAAACTCATGAATTTGTACCATTACCTTTCCTAAATCTTCTGACATTCAGTTTATTTGATGTTGATGCTGTTCAGCTGTAATTTATCAATATTATTGATCCGATGTCATTTAAACATTAATGTCGTTCATAAGACTAATTCATTCATTCATTCATTATAATGTATATATAATTGTAGAACCTGATGATGAATTTATCGAAAAGAGTTCTCTTTGTTCCGTGTCTATTCTTTTAAAAATTCAAGATAAGTTAATTCTTAGGAGTTAGCAACAAGTCATTACATAATCAGGGAATTTGTAAGATAATGACGACTCGGTAGAATTACGTAAAATTAGCTAGAATTGTAAATGAAATAACAAAGTCAAAAGATAGTTACAAGGGGAGAGGAAAAGTAATCGACTTTCAAAACTTAAAAAATCTTATGTAGCTAGGGCAACGGCAAACAAAAGGACTGTACAAATTTCTTTTCCACTCACACACAGATTTATCTTGTTCAGATGAATACCGATTGCCTCTGCTGCTGTATGTAAAAGTCACATTCGTAGAGTATGCGGTGAACAACTGGTTGAAATACAATAAATACCTTTAAAAACCTGGTTAGACTCAACTTGATGAGCTAGTGTATTGTGCTGAGGATAGCAGCTTTATTCGGACCTTTGTATAGACAAGATGGGAGGTATTCAGAAATTTGATGGTGAACTTGAGTGATCGTACGCTCAATGTAACTAGCTTCACACGAGCAGTTAAACTGGTAAACACACATGGAAGAGGCGAAACAGGGCAGTTTGTCTTTTTTTTGTTGAACTAAGTATTCGTCGGTTAGTGAATACGCAGCATAGCTTAGCTGCATTGAAAGTCCTTTTGAAGGCCCTTCTACCGTTAGTCCTACCCTAAATTTAATCCCAACAGTACTGACTGACTGTGTCACCCTAGGTATCATGAAATTGAAAGTGTGGGGGACTCTTATAGTAAAAACCATATCCTCTTTCTTCAACCGCCATATGTCGTGGCCGTGAATTAGAAGGGTACATACTGGTTGGGTGGACATCAGGTCTGTAATAAATACGATACAGATCGGCAAATATCCAACCAGTATTATGTATCTGTGCTTAGATTTAATCAGCAAGCACGCCATTTGGGCTGATGTAACTCTCGCTTTAGCGACCAATCCCGATATCGTCGACCCCACCACTAATTATTATCTTTTTGGGTTCCGAGTGATGCATACGGCTTCAACAGCATATATCTCCAGTCGTCTGTAGTCTTCTTCAGCGGGGCCTACGACTGCGCACCAACTCTCATTTCCTACTTATCATACAATCTCGTCTACATCACCTTTGATCACCCTACTTGTCACTCCCCATTCGGATTTCGTTCGAATGATGGCCTGGAGCGTGATGTCACCTAACAGTTTCCTCAGTAAGTGTCCGACCCATCTCCATTTACTTCAGGAGATTTGTTGAGCAAATGGTGCCTGGTTGATTTACTCTCAGAGCCTATCTATTGTTGTTGATCCTTTTTGGTTGCCCATTTGATCTTTAGTATGGAGCCAGCGAAGTGAGCAGCTGTTGATAAATGTCTGCAGCAGTCGGTCAGAAATGTTTTTTGTGTCGCACATTGCAAGTTTCTGACCCACATAGAAGAACTGACTCAACACTGGCATTAAAGATCCAAATCCTGTTTTTTGTGCTGAGTGCAGGAGATTTTAGAGCGATAAAAGTCTGTCTTAACTTTCCAATACTGACTGGTTTTGGACTTCCTCCACGTTTGTGCCAACTCACTGTAGTTGAAAGTATGTTGGCTAGATAATTGGAGGAAGTGAGCTCTTTGAAATCTCCTCCGTCAATACTCATTGGTGTTTGCTGCTTGCTGTTGTTGGTTGCTTATCTTCACTACCTCTGTCTTCTCTATATTGGCTTGAAGTCCTGTATACACTACCCGCCTCTTCTGAAAACTTGTTGCTTTTCACCTGTATATCTTCGAGTTTCAGTCAGTGAAGTCCAGATGTTCTACTCTTCACGTCAATCCAACTGATGCGAAATCTTATTGCTCCCTCCAGTCCATCACAAACATGGAATATCATCAAGGATAGTAGCCAGCCGCCTTATCTTACTCCCGTCTTCTTTTCAAAGGCTTCGCTGAGTTTTCCGTTGTAGAACTTCGCACAGAAGTGCACCAAGTTCATATAGTACACACAGAAGGAGGAAGGTATTGTAGTGAGCTATAAGTGTGAGGAAAAGAAAATATCAACATGTAAAGCCATGACGATTTAGTGACCATGGAAGATATCACAGAGACACTGAATACATCTCAGCTACTGAAAGACTTTGAGGTATATCTATCACCAACAGTCTCTAGGTATCACAGGGAACCCCCAAGTAGGCAGCCTACAAAGAAGGTCAACAAACAGACACGGGTTTTCCTGGATATAAGTAAAATGGAAATCACGCCATGAACTGATATCGGTCAGAGAACCATTGGAAAACCACCAGGGAGTGCTACTAGACAGCTGTTTCTATTGTCCCAGTTAGGCGGTCTCTTCATGAGTACAACAACACCCACCACGGTTAGAACCAACGACCTTCCCGGTTACAAGGCAAGGCGAGCTTGTAGACCACTCGGCCACTTAGGCTTGATCCAATGGGCAGATCATAAATTCTAATCTCTACCAATTCGTGATTAATTTGGAGCGACTGGGAATTAGCTAATGTCATTGTTGGCGAATGAGTATTTCTCCTCACACCTGACCTGCTGGTTCTCCAACCGATGTCAGATCACTATGAAATCCTGTAACCAATCAAATCCCTGCAAACCAATACTTGCACATAGTTTTCAAAAAAATTGAACAAGCAGAAAAGAAAGGTTATCCTTACTATATAAATCCACAGGAAGACTTGGTGAACGAGCGATCAATATGGACAAAAATCGTAATCTTAAAGCAAGTTGTGGAATTTCTAAAATTACAAAAAAAATGTAAAAAGAACGAAATTAAAGTACAGAAATCATTCAAAGATTTTTATGTAAACTGGGTATCATAAGTATAAAACTTGGACACTGTGGTAGAGTACAACTCCACTATGGATAAAACTTCATTTTGATAAAATCACACAGTGTTGTTGTACAGTAATATTTACTGATGACAATGTGTCAAGCACAAATTATTGCTGCTCATAATTATATCAAGTCACTACTCACACAGCTTTCTTGCTTTAGTTATATACATGAGTAAAATTGATTATAGCAAAAATATTCATTCAGACATCTATAAAACACAAAATAATCGAGCAAAGAATATCGTTTTCGATAAATTCCTCATCCAAGCTCTACAATTATATATATATATGTTTATACACAAAGAATATTTTAAATTAGTAGTTTATAACAATATTAGTGTTTTTTTTTAAATAATATCGATTTGCAAAAGTTAATTTTTTAAGGAATGGGGTTGCTGCTGGCCTCATGCCCAAACTTCCCTCTTTACCAGTCTTATTACTGGTTTAGCGAGGTAAGGGAGGAGTGCATCGGTCGGGGATCGAACCCCCGGACCAAATATGTGTGGTTGGCGAGCACTCTACCGCTGTGCCACCAACACACAGTCACAAGTTGATTACATCGATAAACACATATTGTTCTTTTTTTTGATTTAGTTCTATTCTGTGAGAGAAGCTGGCTGATTTAATTGTGTAGCTTTTGTTATCCTCCCTTTAGACAACATCGTTTCAGCACAGATTACAGTATGAAATGAACTCATTTGTATTCTCCCTACATGAATGAATGACAATATAATTGTATCTCCTGACAACAACCATTGTCGTCATTATTAATTGTTAATTTACATGTCTGTCTATTGATCATTTATTTTCATTGACTTGGAATTTGAACTTTCTTGTCAATGTGTGAAAAGGAGCACACGATACGTATTCCTGTTTCATATCGATGTATGTCGATAATTATGGACACGAATAGGCGATTGGGATAATGAAGGAATTTCAAACAGAGGAAAGACACGAAAAATGCAGTCTGGGAATTTCTAGAAGCCTGGTCAGTAGTCAGATGAGTCAGTGATTAACAAACAAACACATTTATTACAGCGAAAATATTTATTCAGACATCTGTAAAACACAAAATAATTGAGCAAAGAATATCCTTTCCAACAATCTCCTATTCTGGATCTACAATCATATATATATGCTCATATACATAAAATATTCTAGAATAGCAGTCAATAACATTATTGGTGTGTCTTTTAAATACCATCGATTTTTAAAGTAAGATCACAATGGAATTATCACAGTTCATTAAAGATGCTTAAATTATAATAATAACAATATAAATATAATGGCAAATAGAATATCAACTAAAATTAAACAAATCTCTACAATGATAAATTAAGGACCATTCGAACCTAGATGACTAGGGTAGGGACAGTGTCTGAACTAGCTACCCTTGGACACATAAATAAGGCTTGTTAATGTGGATCCCAACGGCCAGCCTCAGCAACATTTAGTAAACGAACTCTTTAGGTGAAGTTAAGATTTGTTGGTATGCAATAAATGACTTTTGGGCGCCGCCTCATTGATATCAATCTTGTGTTCTGTATCCACAAGATGAGATAGAATAGCACTACGAATAGAGTTTTTGTTTGTCCTTAACTTAACCAACCATGCAGAGTGATGTTCGGAAATCCAACGAGAAACGCGCCTAATTGTACAACCTATGTAACTGGCTCAATAGCAGTTCAACGGTCGGTCGGTCGGTTTTCGACATAGAACTTTGCACATATGTGCGGCAGTTCAAGTCGCCACACTCCATGTAGCACGCAGAACAAATGAAGAAAGTAGAAGAAATGCATAATATAGACAGTAAACAGAGGTGTGAAACAAAGGTATAGTAATAACGGAGAACAAAACAGTTTCATTGGAAGTCATGAGGAGTGGATGCATCTGCGCCACTGAGAACGATTTTGAGCCATGTCACCAATTGTTTCCAACCATTGGTTTTTACTGTCCCGAGGACCCCAACCAGGAAGTCTACATCTTCCTACGTGGCTTAGATTAACTGTTGTGGATTTCATTGATTGGTGCCATGTTTTCGTTTGACCGCCACTAGCTCTTTTCCAGCCTGGCTCTATATCAGCTAACATTGCCCGTCGAGGAAGGCGATGACTAGGCATACGTAGCACATGTCCTAACCATCTCAGTCGATGTATTTTCACCGTTTCGTCGATTGATTTCCCCGCCTTACCTAGCACTCGACGCCTAACCTCAATATTGCTCACCTTATTATACCACTTCACACGGGAGATAGAACGCAGACACCTATGATCAAAGACAGCTAATCTTTTCATGTCTTCCTCTCTCAATGACCAGGTCTCACAGCCATAAAGGAGGACGGAGCGGACTGTTGAGCAGGACACACGCCCTTTGGTCGATAGTCGGATATCGCGTCTACGCCAGAGACGGCGAAAACTGGCGAATGCGAACCTAGCCCTCTGTATTCGTGCTGAAATTTCGTCTGAGATCAACCCGTTGGGGCTGATGGTACTTCCCAAGTAATTGAAGCGGTCAACGTGTTCTACCACTTCACTTCCTATTTCTAATCTAGGGGTCGATGAAGTCCAATCCTGCAGCATCATCTTACATTTTACAGGGGCGAATCGCATGCCAAACATACGGAGATTGTTGCTCAGGGTGTTCAGTAGACTCTGCATTTTGTCAGAGTCCTCGCCTAGAAGGACTATATCGTCTGCATATTCTAAGTCAACGAGATTATTCCCTGGTAGCAAGTCAATCCCTGAGTCGCTGAAGTGTGATAAGGTTAAGTCCATTAGTACGTCTATGATGAAATTGAATAGGAATGGGGATAATGGGCATCCTTGACGGACGCCACTAGTCGTCACCACTTCAGATGACAACTCGCCATAAGCCCTCACCTGGCTGCATGAGTACGAGTAGAGTGCCTTAATCAGTGCAATGTATTTTCTTGGCATTCCCTTTACAGCCAAGCATCGCCAGAGAACCTCTCGGTCGACAGAATCGAATGCCGCCTTTAGGTCAAGAAATATAATGATTGTCGGACGCCGGTAGGAATGCCTATGTTCTAGAATCTGTCGAAGGGTGAAGATGTGATCAATACACCCTCTACCTGGCCTAAAACCTGCCTGGTTTTCTCGTGTTTGTGTCTCCCGAGCGCCACTTAGTCTACGCAGTATTATTGAGCCTAGGATTTTAGATACTATATTAGTCAAGCTAATCCCTCTGTGATTATCACAAGACGACTTGTCCCCCTTCTTGTATATCGGGATGATCAGTGACTTACACCAACCCGATGGGACTTCCTCTGATTCCCAGACGCTGCCTAGGACCTCCGTTAACGCAGACAGTAAACTGTCTCCTCCGTACTTAAATACCTCTGGAGTCAATAAATCAGGTCCCGCTGCTTTGCCTTGCTTCAGATTAGTGACAGCTTTAGTAACCTCAATTAAGGACGGAGGACCTGTGTCTATATCCCATTCAGGGAGGTGTTGGATGTCCGGCAGGTTAAGTGTGGCTGTGGGCCAATTAAACTGCTCCTCATAGTGTTCTTTCCAGCGCTCCAGACGTCTATCCTGGGAGCTAATTATGGTGCCATTTTTCTCGGAGATTGTTTCGCTTATCATTTGCCTTTTACCACCTGTTTCTCTGATAAGCCTGAATAGTTGTCTGGTGTTGCCTATCGCCGATGCTTTTTCCATCTCTTTCGCCTTTGTCAACCACCACTGTTCACGGTCCTAGCGGAGACTTTTCGTAAGTTTCTTTTTGTGCAGCTTTCGCTCCTCATTGAATTCGGAGCTCGCCGGAATAAGTCTTCTAGCATCTATCAGTTCGGATGAGGCAGTCGAAATCCAATGGTTTTTACACACCTTTGGATTTACCTTATTCACAGCTTTTACAGCTGTATCAATGGCTGACTGAATATTCTTCCAGGCTTCTTCAGGGTGAGCGCAGCTGTCGAACTCAGATATGTGTTTAGCTAGTTCTTCCTCAAATAGGGACTTAGTTCCCTGGTCGAGCTGGGGACGTGATGGGTTTACCGCCAGCTGTTTCCTACGTCCGTTCAGTCGTAAGCACACACGAGCGCGGTTCAACACAGTTCAACACAATCTGTAAGCATGATAATATGCATCAACATAACATAACACTATGTCAGATAGTTGGAGGCAATCAGCAGGAGGTCAATCGCGAACCTGAATAGCCCAGTGGTAACGTCTCTGACTGCAGCACTGGGTGACGCGGGTTCGAATCTCAGAAGGGACATGAGTTCCTTCAAGGATGCAGATACGCCTTGCTGGCTGACAGGTGAGTGCCAACTAACACGAAACCTAGGTCCAAGGCTTCCTGTCGATTGCCTCCAACTATCTAATATCATCAAATCAATGTGCAGCGTGATGGTGAGCTACCTAGAATGGTGGCCACATTGCAAACCTGACTGACTGATAGAATTCAGTCTGCACCAAGGAAAGGACTAGACACGTCACACTAGTTACTAGTGTCCAATGAAAATAACACTGAAATCGGAATATCATAGAAATTGGTAATGATAGCAATACAGAATTGGAGATGGTAGTTAGGAGATTACGGGAAATACGTGCCCAGCTAATGAGGACAGTGGAAAATATAACCAAGTGGAGACGTGATGTTGAAGCGCTATGTTCCACTGGAAACCCAAGACGAAACACTATTGAGAATTATAATTTAAGGTAAAAAAAAAAACAAAAGAAAGCAAAAGAAGAAAAGTACAATCAATAGAACTGCTTACCCTGTTGTGTTGTGCATCGTATTTCTCGAATGAGTTCATTAGGAAGAACTGATTCAAGACAGATATGAATACAAGCAGAATCTAAAGAACAACATATTCCAATACATCTGAGCAATTTGGCGCGTATTTCTTGATTTGTTTCACGTTGATATAAACCGATAAGAGCACGAACTGATCGGTATTCAACTGCACGAAGATAGCAGATAACCAATTGATGATCAGATCTTTCCTAAAATAATTGTGATTAAATCATCAGGTGGAAATGAAAAAGTGGAACAGTATTTACTCGTCAGTATATAGGAATTTATCTTAAAGTTATTTATTATAATCATGGTAAAGAGGGGAATGAAACGTGGCTTGTGAACATTTAATCTTAATTTGTACTGTTGGATCGCTGATGAACTTCTTAGTTATTTCTACATTATAACCACTTCATCCCAAACAGTAACAATTATACAAAATGGACTACGCAGAGTTTTTATACATATTGCAACAATTTAACTCCTTTGATAAATATGTAAGATACATAAATCTTAAAATACTACTACTAATAATAATATGAATAATAAAACCACTATAAACAGAAACATTATTATAATAATATTATTATTCCCTTAGGTTCCAAATGGAGCATAAAGCTTCAAAGACACATCTCCACTTTGCTCTATTTTCTACTCTCCTCCTCACTACACGATCTCCTCCGTGTCACCCTCGTACCGACGACCCACGCGTCACTTCTCATTGGAATTCCACTCGGACAATACCCTGGCTGGTGCGCGATGTCACCCAACGACCTCCTCGACGTATGACCGATCCGTCTCCATTCCCTCCTGCATATGTATTGAGCAATCGGCTGTTGGCTGGTTTGTTCACAGCCAGAGTTTCTTGCTGCTAATTCTTTCCGGTGGTCTGCCCATTTGATCTTCAGTATGGAGCCAGCGAAGGCAGCTGTTGCTAAAAGTCTGCGACAGCGTGTTGAAAATGCTTTTTGTGATACGCTGGCCGAGTTCCCAACCCGTATAGAAGGACCGACTTGACATTGGTGTTAAAAATCCGAATCTTGTTCCTTATGCTGAGTAAAAGGAGAAAATTTCCAAACTGCCTTCAAGTTGATGAGGGAACACCTTGCCTTTCCGATTCTGGCCGGCTTTGACATGTTCATCCGTTCCGTTCCGCCTGTGGTTGAAACCGTGCTTCCTGGCCAGATAAGTGAAGGAAGTAACCTCTTTCAAATTATTTCTGTTGATGGCGATTGGTGCTGGTTATTGTTGCTGATGCTGTTGGTTGGTTATCTTCATTACCTCTGCTTCCCCTATATTCACCTGGAGTCCTGTCTTCTGGTGGGAACATAATGAAGCATAAGTACATAGTATCATAGATAACACATGCAATAATCATCTTCGCTGTACGTTGCAGTTCAGTTACTGATTTAAGTTCTTTTCTGACATTATGCATAAAATTCTATTTTGGTAAAATCACAGTGTTGTTACTGATGACCACGTTTCGAGCACAATTTATTACTACTCATAATCATATCAAGGCACAACTCACATAACTTTCTTTTCTGACATCTGACAACTAACTCTTTACAGAAAACTCGTGGTGAATATGGTGGTATCGGAGAATTTTTACACTGACTAGCTGCACGAGTATAAATTCTCGTGAAATTTATTCTGGTTTTATCCCCATTGAAGATATACAAGGAAAAGGTTGCGAATATTAAAGCGAGTGTTCAGAGTTAGACAAGATAGCCTTAGCCAACTGCTTGCAGGAATTGAAGTGCCTATTGACAATAATGTCAGTTAGGCATACACACCACTAACCCTGCCTACCTGCAGCCTTCAGTGTACTACATAACACGACATAGCCTTTTTTGAGAAATCCAGAGAAGAATAGGGCGGAGCAATAAAGAAGAATGAGCAGAATACATGAATTAATAAATTTTAAGAGAAGAGGTTGAATTATAATGCCAGAAAGTATCAACTTCCTTATTGTGTAATATGTCAAACGAAAAATCTTCTTAGGTATCAACAATCATATGAGACGATCAACAGAGATTTGAAGAGAAACTGATGTCGACATAAAAATTTATTCATCACATAAGAACAATCGAATGCAGAAACTACTGGGACAGAAAATGGTTAGATAATCAGCATATTTTTTTTAATGAAGTTAGCTTTGGAAGAATGTGGAAAAAGGTTGTTTCGTAATGTGTCTGATGTAAATAAAAGACAGATTCAGCGAAGAAAATTTGCTTTATCGACGAAATCATCTTCAGAGGCTGTACAATCGTATTTATACTTACAAAAATATATAGTGGTCTATTATTGAGTAATAGGGGGTGACATAATTGATATAATTACTCAGAAGTGGCTTTAGAAGTGAAAATTAGAAGTTGAAAATTACGTGGTACTCAACGGCAAAAAGATAGAAATTTGATAAGGTTAAAATTGCTATTAAGTGAGAATAAAGGTATTTGAGTGTCAATTTAACAAGTGTGAAGAGGGTGTGAAAATATACAAAAGGAGCATATGAGAGTGATAATAGTGAATTAATTATTAAAGCAAAAGCTAACTAAAAGTGAAATTACAATGAAAAGAAAAAATAAAAAAATTTTTTTTATTTACAAGGAACGATTAGTGAAGAGGTTAAGACCAAGGTAGAATAAGAGACTGGACAAACTTTTTCTGTATACAGAGTTCAGGGTTGTATTGATGAATTGCTAGAGCCTCCGCCATACACAAAAGCCGAAACCTGACGCCCTTTGTACCATTTGGCTTCACTTTGTAGATGATCTTGAAAGACGATTCTGGTGGAGCTACGTGGCCTGAGTTCACCAAATGTTCGAGAATTGAGCTATTAATTGTCTTACATTGTCCCTTTGCTAACCATGCCGGATAATGCTCAGAGATGCGTTTGGAAAGCGTGCGCTTTGTGCGGCCAATATAACTAGCTCCACACGAGCAAGTGAATTTATAAACACACATTGGTGAACTCAGGCCACGTAGCTCCACCAGAATCGTCTTTCAAGATCATCTACAAAGTGAAGCCAAATGGTACAAAGGGCGTCAGGTTTCGGCTTTTGTGTATGGCGGAGGCTCTAGCAATTCATCCCAGTCATTGGTTCTTAGAGTCCTGAGGACCCCACATCAACCAGCCACACAGCCTACACCTCCATACATAGTTGGCTCAAACTAACTGTTAAAAACTTCATGAACTGATTCCGTATTTTGGTTTCTGTCTGTTTTCGACATAGAACTTTGCACCGATGTGCAGCAGTTCAAGTCGCCACACTCCCTCCATGTAGCACACAAAGCAAGTGAAGGAAGTAGGAGAAATGCATACTAAAGACAGTAAACAGAGGTGTGAGACAAAAGTATAGTAATAATGAAGAACAAAAGTTTCATTGGAGATCATGAGTCACAAGGAGTGGATGCATCTGCGCCATTGAGAACGATTTTGAGCCATGTCACCAATTGTTTCCAGCCACCCAAAACCAGTCAAGGAGTCTACATCTTCCTACGTGGCCTAGACTTACTGTTGTAGATTTCATTGACTGGTGCCATGTTTTTGTTTGACCACCGCTAGCTCTTTTCCAACCTGATCCTGTGTCAGCTAACATTGCCCATCGATCAAGGAAGGCGATGGCTCGGTGTGCATGCGTAACATATGTCCTAACCATCTCAGTCGATGTATCTTCACAACCTCGTCGATTGGTTTCCCCTCCTTAAGTAGCACTTGACGGATGCTCAACCTCAATATTACTCACCACCACTTAACACGGTGGTTAGAACGCAGGCACCTATGATCAGAGACAGCTAGCCAACCAAGCTTTTCATGTCTCCCACTTTCAATGGACAGGTCTCACAGCCAGTCATAAAGGAGAACGGAGCGAACCGCTGAGTAGTACACACGCCCTTTGGTCGATAGCCAGCCGGATATCACTTCTATTCCTGAGATGGCGTAAACTGGCAAATGCCACACGAACCTTCTGTATGCGTGCCCGAGATCGCAGTCAAAATAAAAGAGGGAGACTAAAGGAGCATGTTTTTTTATTCTACCGCCACATGTGACATCACTGAAAAGACGTCAAAGGTTTCACTCACGATGAATACTTTCATACACGCGTTGCTAACGCACCAAAGTTTCATAAATCAAGTAACGATTCCAAATTCCCACATTAGTACATGTTCATCTGCGGTTTAATGACAGGCTACCTGCCAGCCATGCGTAAGGTTCAGGTTCAACTCCTAGCCCACGCAATCCTCAACCTTACCCCGGAAGGAAAGAAGACTGAATGTGAGGCTAACAACCCTACTCTTAAAAAACCAACACCAAGGCAACTGAAACTTTAAAGTTTGAAACCCGATGTTCAACTCAGAACGCAAAGAATAAAGAAAGCGTAAACACACACAGGAGATGAGCAAATATTAGTGACCATATTACCTTCCATATTAGTTTGTTTATTAGATGTATCACACAGTGAAACAGTATTATTTACTGGATGACAAAGTTTCGAACAAAATTTATTGTTCATAATCATATCAATTGTAATCACACGACATCGAAACTTGAGTTTTATAGTTTTCTTTGTCTCCTATTTGTCGTCGTTGGGGTAGTGGGATTTTCCAGATATCCGGGTGGACAGGTGTTGAATCATTCCTATTACACGTATTTGCAGTTGACTCGATAAGCAAAGCTTCTGTTATCAATCTCCCCTTCTACTCTACTGTGACATTAGATTTTAAAACTGTCATCCTATCCCATCCTATTGTATGGTTGTGTAACTGCATGTAGTAGGTGCTATAGCTGAACTATTCTCTACATTTCCTATCTTATTCGGGCCAGCCAATCAAGATTTACCTAGGTTTTTATGCTCGGCTAGTCTATCTGCCTCTGTTCTACTAATCTGACCTGACAATCACTGCATGTAGGGTATTAGATAAACTAAATTGTTTTGTTTTAAAGACTCCACAGGATCCTTTAGCCAACAGAGCTTGTTTCTGAATGAGTTTGTGAGGGGTTTGAATGCCGGCCACTTTTGTTCCTGCCTTGTTAAGAATTCTGCGTAGTGCTTCCGAGGTTCCTTCCTTGTATGGAATTATTACTGATGATTTAGATTCCTTATTGTTGGTGTTGCCTTGCGCATATTTGACATGCATGTCGTCATTATTATTATTATTACTATTATTATTGTTATCGTTATTATCACTATCGCTTTGTTCGAAACGTCATCCAGTAAATAATACTGCTTCGCTGTGTGATATGTCTAATAAACAAACTAATATGGAATCACTTAATACCACAGTGCCCAAGTTTTACACATATATTAACCATATTACCTTCTTATCGGCTTGGAGATTTTCTTTCAAACCTGGTATTACACAGGATAGCATACCCATCAATGCTGAATACACAAATCCACAATCTGAATAAGAACAATTTGTTGCTAGTCTTATTGTGTCCAGTAGGCGGTATTCGAAATTCTTTGGTAAAATAATATCTCCTTCAGACTTTGCTACTATTAAGGGAAAAACAAAACCAGAAAAAAGTAAAATAATCTTTAACATTATTTGTTCTTATAGCAATAAATATGTCGCTCTATCGGATATACAATATAAAAGTATGCGATGATAATGAATCATCAATACAATAAGGATCGTTGTATCTAGGAGCCCATAAAGAGTGAATGCATTCGCGTCAGAGAAAACGATTTTGTGCCATGTAACAAATAGTCTCCAACCTTTGTTTCTTGGCGTCTCTAGAACCCCAGCCAGGCAGACAACACCTTCCTGTGTTGCTCAATCCAACAGTCACACAAGCAGATGTACACTACTTGGCTACCGCGAATCTCTTGAAGGGGTAAATATAATCAATTCATCTGCCAGGTGTTTACTTGCTCATTTCTCCAATGCACCATTTGGTCTACGTATGAGATTATCTAACCTAGAATCTTAGATACTATGACAGTCAAGAGAACCGCCATATGATTACCACAGGAAGAATTACCTCCATTCTTATAAACTTGGATGATCAAGGATTTACACCAGTCCAATGTGACTATCTCAGCTCCCCACACATCACTTAATATCTTACTTAACCCAGTCAGCAGTTCGTCGGCACTACCACTAAACACCTCTGCAGTCATGCCACGAGGTGCCACCAATTTGCTTAGTCTCAGAATAGAGGTACCTTCTACAAACTCATTACAGTTGGAGGACCAAAGTCCCATTCAGGTCATTGCTAGGTGTTGGGCTGTAAGCCCGTTACACTACTCCTCAAAGTTACCTCCAATGTTGGTCTCTTTTCCTGAGAAATAATCAGAGAATCCGCTAATCGGAGAATGTATGGCTTATTAGGTGTCTTTTACAAGCAGATTCCCTAGGGCACCTAAATAGTTGTCTGGTGTCACCTACCACCGATGGTCTTTCCATCTCTTTGACGTTGGTAACTAGTCACTATTCCGGGTTGTCGCAAAGAACTTTATTCAGCTTCCATTTGGATAAATCTTGCTCTTCGTCACGTTTGGAACTTCAGACGACTCTGAAACAGCCAATCAGATTCTTCTAGGTGAGAAGTACTAAATTTACAAAGAAGTGTATCTACGATATATATGTAATAAAAAGGGTATATATCTCTAATATGCCGCAAAAACTGGCCCCAAATTCTCATAGAAGTGGTTATAGACATATCACCTTATAAAGACTTCCTCATATTAAGTGGTTGCATACGAATGTGTAACCGTCAGTAGCCCGTCAATACTTTTTCAGAGTCATTATCCCTCCACATACTTGTTTTATTCCTCCCTACCAACCCATTTTCCACAGAGAAGTCAAAAACCAAACCTAGGAGATATTTTCAACGAGGATTATGACTAACAATCATCTGTAATGCTGAGCTGTCTGATTGGTCAAATCAATGTCATTTGACTTTGGTGTCTATTGTTTACTCTTGCTGGAGATAGTCTTCTTGTTTCAAGAAATCCGACCCTCATGCCCAATAGTTGTATTGCATGGTTTCTTAATATGCTGCTCATTTAGCTTTACAGCACTCGCACTACTCACTATTCTACATTTTTGTGGTGAATTCCGGTTTTAAAGGAAATCCTTATGAGCTCTGAAACTGAAGTTCGCCTGAAAACGTCAAAATGTCATCAGTTTATGTTGGAAGATATTTAAAAAAACTCACTTGCCGCTTGAGTTATACGTTTTTTAGGATCAGTTATCCTTAGCTCAGAAAGGTTTCCAGGTGGTTTCACATCACCAGGTGTATCCATGTCTTTTTCTCCTCTTATCTGCAACAAACGTCTGGGGATTATGAAATCACAACTAGAAACAATAGTACTCAAGCAAATCCCCCTTCCCCCCAACATTTTCTAGAATTCTATCAGTCAAGTTAGCTAATGCATTTTTAGCAAACTCAACTTTGATGTCTTGATCCCCAGTCTGACATATCAATGTTACATGCAAATATAAAGTACCTCGTATTTTTCGACAAAATCTGATGGGACGCAACCTAAAGTCCCATCTGTCTTACACACCATACGCCAGTCTTGATTTACTTCACGAATATCTAAGAAAATTTCATTCTTAGAGAACTTTAAAGTTCCTGGGAAAGAACCAGGGTAAGGGTATACCGCTCGCAACATTCTGAAAGTTGTGTAGGTCGCACAACATTAAACATTAAAACAACCATGTGTCATAAGTAGACTTCAGACTTTTGAAGGATAGTTTCAAGTCACCTCATATAATTCTATGTATTTTATAGGGCCAGTCTTGTTTGGAATGGAATAAAAAATCTATTTTGTTGGTATTCTAAGAAAATTATTTTTGTTCGAAATTTCATGGATGTGATAAGCTTGTGAACTTTCTTCCAAAGTCAGATAAAATACATTATTGTCAGTTGCACTGGCTCTAGTGAAATACCAAAGGAATGGTACTCACGCAAATATGACCCACCCTGAAAACAACTGTTGTGGTTAAAAATTTCCTAAAAGCATTAGTCAACTTCATTCGACATTGAGTGCCTACCTACACTGAATAAATCGAATAGCCAAGTCGAAGCTACGTTGTCGGGAATCCGCGTTGCTTAACAATCTGTCGTGTTACATCTGGTCGTTCGTACATGAACCCTAGCCACTGAGGTAATCATCACTTTACCTTTTTGATCCCTAAATATATCTCGTAATCTGGATAATCGTTTGGTTGTTTCTATTAGCCTCCGTTGTCAGTACTTTGGAAGTTGGAGGATAAACACTTTTATCCGAATACTGCGTATCGTTCGCAACCGTCTATATCCACCATCTCATATATCACCCTATTACGCGGCAAATTCCATATTTATTTTAATATTCCGGATAAGAGCATTGTGAATGTTGAGGAGGCTAACGAGTGTTTTCCTAAAGATGCGGAAATCTGACACACATCGAAACGCATTACGTCCTTGAGGTAGGATGACTGGGAGCAAACGGGATGGTTTAACGCCTTATATTGGATATTCGATGAAAAAATTGGGATATCATTTTGAATCACACCTATGTAGAGAAGTCAGCCTCTCCTAATCCGACTTTCTCAGTTGTAACTGGTAGCAGGATCCTCCATTGTTCTCAGAAAATTAGGTCAGCTTAGTAGCACACTGGACAATAACAGTAACTGCCCTCTAGCTACTGATATCGGCCATTGCATGGGAGGATTCTAGTTGGTTCAATAAACTTTTCAAGATTGAGCTTCATGGACTGTGTTTCGGATGAATTGTATTTTCAAACGCATCTCAAAAAAGCTAATCGATCTACGTAGTCATCATTGGAGGAAAAGTGGCCGAGGTATAACTCCTAGCATTGTAGAACATTCATAAAGAAAAGTAATAATGGTATAGATTTTTTGCTTCTGCTAAATCATGGGATTTTTCTGAGATAACCCTGCAAGTCTCGGTTCAACTTTTATTCGTATTCTTCCCTGTACTGCCTCCAGATTCTACAGTGTTTTGACCAAAAGTACTGTAGCTCAGAGGAGACAAATGCGGCTGAATTTGTAGCGGCAACAGTAAAATTTAACTAACTCTTGAAGTAAACGAGCAAAAACTAGCCAAGCTCAACTCAGTCGTAGGTTTCGGTGTCATATAAAATAAATAAATAAATTTATTCTCATAGTACAGTACATGAGGGACGCCAGTTTACAGGCATCATCAAACTGTTACAGAAATAGAGTCATGTAATTCAATCACAATTTACAGGCAGTAGCAAGATATGCCTTACATGTTCGCTGGAGATTATACATACACTTGATAAATGTTAATCCCATTTGTATAAAACAGCCTTTTCACTTATATACAATCATTTCTGTGCACAGTTGGAAAAATCTGCTAGATTGTCAGTGAGTGCAACACATCAGGAAAAACAGAAGTATTGTCTTCGCATTAACAAAAAAACCAGGTCTTTGGTGGATGGTTTAAAAGTGCCTGGGAAAAAAATAAAGCTTGAAGTCAATTTTCATACATAACTTTGTTGTATGCAGAATCCTTGAATTATAGTTCATTGATGTGTCATTTTTAAATCAGTGATGTTCTTATCTCGTTTGATCTGCAATGTCATTGTTGGGAGTAAATACATAGGCTTCAGACTCATTAATTAATGGATTTCTACTGCTTGTGGGTATTTTCTTAGCGTGAAGAAAGCTTATGAATTTCAGCTGTTCCGACAGGAGTTGAGAATATTAACTGCTCAGCAACATTATGGATATAAGTTCATTACATCGCCTAAGGAAAGATGAGTTGCAGTTGGTGAGGGATATATGGTGCCCAGCGAGCGTACATCTGTCCATGTGATGTTGTGGTCGGTTATACCTTCTTCATGTTGTCAGTTTATGTCCATCTTATTCCACTTATTGTGTTGGGTAGTAGTTTTACAAACGAAATTTATTGTCTGTTTGAGGGTACGTATCTTAACTGTTAATGTTTTATCTTAAATTATAAATATAGGCAAAAAACAACAGGTGTAGTATTTAAGCTTATACATTAAATGGACCTATAATTTCGGAGGCTCTCAGATAGGAACTAGAACTGCTATCGTTTGCAAACTCTTGTAGTTTGTCATTAAGCACCTTTTTGAAGGAGGCCAATGTACTTGCTTGACGCATTTCCATTGGTAGTTTATTCCATATCTGTGCATACCTAATCAAGTAAAACTTTTGCCTGGTGGCTGTTTCACATTGTTCGATGGCTACTGTACCCTTAGTGTGTCTTAGTTTGTAGCCACTGTCATCTGAAAGTCGAGTGCCATTAGTAGAGGTAAAAACTAAGTGGTTTAGGAGCTTATAGTAAAGTGTTAAGTTTAGTCTCAGGCGTCTTAGCCATAGTGCTTCTAGTCCTAGGATATCACATCTAGTGGAGTAGTTCGCACCATTTTCGGTTCCGAGTAATTTTAACGTGAAGTACCTCTGCACTCCCTCGACTTTCAATTTGTCCTCTATGCGTATACTACTATACATGAATGAACAGTAATCAAATAAAGGACGCACACAAACCTTGTACAACAGAATTCTAGACTCATTTCTGTAGAAGTTCCTGAGTAGAAAGCCGATAAGTCTGCGTGACTTTGACACTTGTTTGGAGATATGTTCAGAAAATGATAAGTTATGTGAATATTTCAGCCTTAGGTCCAGTACAGATTCCAGTCGTAGTAGTGCATGGCCTTGAATTGTCAGGTTAAGCTCTAAATTATTGCAACCTATGCAGAGCCAGCCACACTTTTCGACACTAAACTGGGGTTGCCAGGTGTCACACCATCTATCCATTTTTTCTAATTCTTGCTGTATGGCGTTTACTGTTATTCCAAGATCTGTGTTCTTGCATTTATAGGTCACTTTTAAGTCATCTGCATATATTATTGGTTTACCTACACTAAAGCATTCACATATACTGTTTGTGTATATATATACTCTAGTAGTTTAGCGTTCTCCGAACAAATTGATTGTGCTAGACGCAAAACACGAAGGCTCCTAGGATGCATAACTCGCGAATTCTTTTGTTGTGAAACTAGGGTTTTATTGTACAAAGTATGTGTCCGACTTATTTTGGAGTACTGCCCGTTTATTCTTAGTGGACTGCGACAGAATGACAAGCTCAAATTGGAGGGAATGCAACGGCAGTTAACTTCAGGAACTCTTGGTTTGGAATGTGGTCTCGACTACACTGAGCGATGCGGCAGACTGAAATAATAAATAAATAAATAAATTTATTCTCATGGTACAGTACATGAGGGACGCCAGTTTACAGGCATCATCAAATTGTTACAGAAATAGAACCATATAATTCAATCACAATTTACAGGCAGTAGGAGTATATCCTTTATATGTTCGCTGGAGATTATACATACACTTGATAAATGTTAAATGAAAATAGAGCCACTCTGGAAAAGACGTCTTTAGCTAAACCTTATTTTCTAATACAAGTTAAATAATCTTCTTTTGCACTCCTCCAGGCCAATAACCAAACCTACCGCTGTCATCATTTACAATCTTAGAAATCATGACAACCTCGTTGCAGTAGAGCATTGTCAGACTTACATGCGGTACAGCTTCTTAAATAAGTTTTAGGTCATCTGGAGTAGACTAACAGCTAATGTGCGTGATGCGAACACGCTACCAGGGTTCATCCCCTCGGTCACCAAACTGCTCAGAGATGACAAAGCTCTCCTGAGTCTGACTCCTAAACTTTCCTTTTCACCTGTGGTAGCCGGGAAACATCAAATTATACGTTCACCGTAAAATAGTAAAAGTAATGGATTCATGGAAAATCATGGTTGTTACGTGAGATTAAACAAGGACACTACCTGGTACCGCGTGAAATATGGACGACACCTCTTCCCTCTCCAGCTCTTTGCTTTCTACATCTGCCGACCGACTCTGCCTGGTACCTGATTGGTACACCCACATTAGAATCTTTTGCTTCAATCTACTTTTCTCTCTGCAAGTGCCCTCTGGCCGTTGGCATCTCTTACGTTTAGTGAGCATCTGTATACCCAAGAAAAGGACAATTTCATCCCTACCACTCTGCACGTCTACATTTGAGTATTTTGGGACAACCTTCCAGATAACTGCATTCTTGTGTGTATATTAATTTATGTGGACTGAATACCGTTCTACATACATACATGTTTGTATTTTTGTCCTATTCATTATGCGTATAAAGGAACTTAGCCGTTTAGTGAACTACAAGCCCAGTGATCTCAGCAGGTCTCTTTCATTGTTTTTATAACTATTGTTATCATTCAGTTTGGAATTCGTGTCATTTCCAATGAGGGCTAATTATTTATCATAGTGGCCTAACTACCGTAATCCATTATAACCTTTATTTTCAATATTTCATGCCTCGTTTCCCCTATCTATCGCAACATGACCTGAAAACTCTCACAGCTGTCGTTTATCATGACTGATTCCATGTAGTCTTTTTACTTATATCTATCACATAAATTGTTTTAACTTATGCAAATTTTGCTTACTGTCATTTTTCCACTACCTTCTCTTGCATATATATCTTGTGTTAGTGAAAAATTGTAAACATGCTTACACCATGTATACGTTATTATCAAATTGATGATGTCCGTAAACTGCAGTCCCTCATGTGCATAAAGCGCATATTGTTATAAGATGCATTTTATTGTTATATGACGGAAATGACTTCAAGCCTTAGTTTTTTCCCCAAGTATCTGTAATCCATCCAACGAATACTTGAGTTTTCTTGTTAATGCGAAGTCAATATCTCTATATTTCTTGATGTGGTCCATTGAATCACTAGTTATCAATTTTTTCCCACAAACTAAAGATGAAATGACAAGAACCATGT